TTTTGATGCAATTTCTCGATACTCTAAAAATAGCCACAGTTCATCCTTGGCGACAGCCATTCGTAGACGATCACTGCTATCTACAACGTAGATAATACCCTGGATATCTCGAGCATGAGATTCCCAAAGGTTTCGATAACGGCCTACAATTTTAGAGCCATTATTTTTGTAAATTTTTAGTCATTAATTAACTGTTAAATTTAAAAGTAACTTTTTTTTTGGCTGTAAGATAAAAATATTCATTTCTTAGCTTCTCTTCCAATGTTCCATGCAAATTTGTTTCATAACTCTCTTCAATATTACAGAAAAAAAAACAACTGTTCAAAAAACATTACTCTGTCCAGACATATCAACAGCTGTAAATGACATATTATTTGATGTAAAGGTTTCAACACTGAAGCCCACCGTTGGAATCACCTTGAAAAAAAAACACTATTGAAGGCATAACACTGAATTCCTTTAGTGGGTTGAGAAATTAAATTAATATCACTGCTTTTTAATCTCTCAATCAACAGATTTCTAGTTTTTTCACTGCCTTTATCTAGCAACTATGTGTGACACCTGATATAATCTATCAGCTACAGAATCCAATATCAAACTGATAAGCTATAAAATTATACTGCAGTTTACAGTTCAATAATCAAAAGATTTATCCAGCAAAACACTGTAAAAACGATGTTTTCTTTTTGCACTTCAAATTACTAATACAGATTTTCTTTTCTACCTCTGATAATTAACAGATAACTGTGTTGGCAAAGACATTTGCAGAAAAGAAAAGTTAAAAAAAAACACCAGTCATTCTGTAGACTGAATTTACTTAACAGTTCAATACTGATATATGCCATATAGACGGTTGCAGTAAAGCACTGTCGATAAACATCTGATATAGAATAACTAGTAAAAGAAAAAAAATAAAACCAATAAAACCTGTGTGGTTTGCGATTCAGATGGTTTCAAATAATTCAGTATTGTCGTTTTTCCGCTATTGTCAAGACCAATAATCAAAATTTTAGTTTCCCGTTTTGAAATTCCAAATAGGGAATAAATCTCGCTCATAAGACCCATCTTCCTTTGAAGATAACAAAATACTATCGGGTGCTGACAAATGTAATTTTTCTATACAATGATTATTGTGTTAGTCTTAAACAAATACATTTATATAAGTATACATATTTATAGAGGAAACACTGGAATAGCAGAAAAACGTTAAAATATTGATTATACTTTTTGGTTATATTATGTCTTATTAAATTGATTATTAAACAATGCTATAATTGTTCATGTTTATATGCTTCTTCTTATTCACTGCAACAAACGTTAATTAGCCAAGACAAAAAATCAGACATTTGTTCCCACTCCTCAAGTTATTCATAAGCCTTCAGACAAAAATAATATTCAATTCAGTTTAATTTACTTTCCTACTTCCCAGTAATATCGATAACAGTGGCGGTAACGTAATAGGAACTATGCAGTACACCTCTCAACCTCCACCTCTCAACCTTGCAAATTACATGAGAAATACACAAAAAATTCTACATTCAAAATTTAACAATTATTTCTAAGTTGATATAAAAATATCAGTGTTTTTTGAGAAACAAAAAAAAAAGCCGCTAAAAAGAAATAAAAAAGTGTCTGAACCCAACATCACCACCACATTCATATTAACTACAACTGCGCAGTGAAAAAATAAGACTCTAAAAAGTTGAAGAACGAATGTATTATACGCACGAAGAAAACAAATTGGGTCTAACGAGACTGAATAGGTTTGGCCAGGCTAAAAAAAAGCGTTTCGAAACAGCCTTACCATAGCAACCAATATTAAAAAAAAAAAAAAAGACAAGCCTATTTGTCGGCTTTTTTCAGCGTCTATCTCATCTGCTACCTCACACTTCCAACAAACACATCATTTTTTTTTTTTTTGATGTTTAATACCTGTTATGAGAGAACACTGATTACTACTCCTTTTATTTTTCCTTTTCGATATAAGTATACAACTTTTACGTCGAAAAAAGAATCGTTCAAACATTCATTAATGATCAATTATGATGACCAACAATATTTTTCAATCACAAGTATTTACTGATTTATTTAATAACTCCACTTAAACAACCTGGGAAGGAGGAAAAAAAAACAAACTTAACAACTGCAATCAAAGAACGATGAGAATAAGAAATGTGAAAACTAAGGAAATACGCACAAAAAAAACATAACTATTAATAAGGAAACTACCAAAACGTTGTCAAAAAAAGAAAAAAAAACTAAAATTGAACTGAGTTATCATACAGACCACGTCATTTTTTATTATAAACAGCTTTTTTTTTTTCAAATCCAAAAGGTATAAAATAAAAAATTAAATTTTACCTTCCAAAACTAAGTGAACTTCTAGCGTTTTAAAAGACGTATTTACAACTAGCTTTGTACAACGCTTTAACTCAAAAGCCACAACATACAAAGTAGAAAGTTCTGTCACCCATCAAGTATTTTGGTTTCTAGCATCATTAAATACAAAAGCAGTGAACAGAGTCGTTGACTACGGTCCGAAAACTTGAACAAGTCAATGCATTAGAACTTCAATATTGAAAGATATATTAATTCAAAAATTCAAAAAAAATAATTGGGCTTTAAAAAGCCTACTGTCGCTTTTTTGTCTTCTTCTGATGCTTACTTGAACTGCCACCTAGCCAAGAAGTCAAGACCTCGGACATATCTACATCAGGTACTGTGGGCATACTTTTCGCCATTTCCTTAAAAAACAGATGCAAATCATACACTCTTGAAAAACGTCGTGTTAGAAATGTGAGAAAAAAATGACAAAAGGCACAAAAAAGTTCTCAACCAATATTACCTTTTTAACCTCCGGGTCATTTGTATTAACTAATTTTGGCAGAATAACAAGTAGGACAAGTGGAACTACCATCATAAGTACCATTGGGCTGGTCAGCATATCCATCAAACGCCATTCTTCGCGAGGCCGGAAATACGAAATTTGATGTGCAGTGACAAGACGCAGAGGATACGGCAATGTAGATACTGTATAAGGCTAAAAAACACTTTCATATCAAAAATGAAGTAAAAATGAGAAGTACATCAAGATAAGCGCAAAAAATAATCAACCTTAACGATATTTCTCAAAAAATAAAGAAGAATATTTATCAACAAAAAGTAAATTACAAGAAAACGAAGAAACAATAATTATCTATTTGTACCTGGAGTAAATTGAGTTTTCTCGCCCTGAACTTCCCCTTAGACGTTATATCAACTCGTACAGGTTCAAAAACAAAATTTACATGTGACACTTCAACTATGTATGAACCTGATGGAACGCCTGTGACAATAAAACTTCCGTCTTTCCTGAATCATTACTGAAGAATTAGAAGCATAAAAATTAAAAAATGGTTTTTATAAGATTTCAGCAGTATTGGGACTAAAAACAGCATTCTTAAATCCATTGCAGTGAACAAAGAACAAATATGTTAATGTCAAAATGTAAAAAAAACTCCTGAGATATATAGTTAGAAATATCACGACAATTATTTTATTTCGCAAAATGCTTTCCATAACCCCTGTACCTAAGGGCTTTAAAAATTAAATTTCTGTCAGAGAACTTCCTTCCGTGAAATTATACTTTGAAAGCCCGCATCATCTGGCATTCCAAAATACCCCACCAAAAAAATGGATGAACTGGACAAGTTTTCAAAGAACATTTAGAAAAAAATGCTAAACAGCCATAACAAAAAACCGATTTCTCTTATCTCCTTAATTAATATTCCTAAGTAGCCATATAAAGGCAACATTAAAAAAACTTACTTTACAAATCCGATGTGCTGGCCATAATTAACCAACACTCTGCACTCACTTCTCCAATTCTTACCATACTTAATTGATGGAGGAAGCTCAACACGTCCCTGTATAGTAAATTTTGTTGTAGCATTCTCCGCAGTGGCCACCTCCGCGGAAGTGCAACAACTGCAGAGCACCAAAAAAAAAGTCGCGACCCGAGGCAGCATCTAAAAAAAAAAAAAA